CCAAAAACTGGTTTTTATCATTAAATGAAGATATAGTCTAAAGATGCTTTGCAGGCTATACGGCATAACCAGGTTTCATTCGCCCCGGGCCCCTGGGTAGTTGCCCCTTTGCCCCCCCCCCCTTTTGTTTCCCTTTTATTAGCTATACTTGATTCAATTTTATTAGTCATCAGGATCTCTACCAGCTTATCCTCAAATTGAAATTCTTTTAGGCAGGATTAGAATAAATTAATCTATGAAAAGGTTTGACCTTCTGAGTCAAACTATAGCTAGATCTCAAATCAGTCAAGAGATGATGGAACTATAAGCTAAAATTTTGTATTTGAGAAAAAAAAAACTTGAGCTGCTCATCCACGACTAAAAAGGCATCAAAATTATGAGAGTGTATAAGCTATCAATGGCTGGAGATGGCTTGAATGGGTAATGAAGAAAAACTTTAATATTAAAGTTTTTCTTCATTACCCATTCAAGCCGTCTCCAGCCATTATTATGACAAAGTATACTACTAACGGATCTAACACTAACAATGTATACTACTAACGGATCTAACACTGACAAAGTATACTAGTTTTGATGAATTTTCACCAAAGGTACACATTATTTAACTTTTAGTTGGTATATTCTTTAAAAACTGTTCATTTTTCCTGAAACCCAGCAAATTGGTATATGTGTTGCCTCGTCATAAAACTAAATTTAACACGAGTTTATCCCCAGAACAATGTATGTCCCTCTGTTCTCCAAGTCCAATTTTTGTGTTTAAGCATAAATAAGAATGATGCTAGGACATTATGACCAAATGAGAGTACAGATTCTAGAATTTGATTGGGTTTCATAGGGTACTAACTTTGTGTAGAAATGCAGTATTTTCTATGTGATTTATCTTCACAAATTCATGACAATGTTATAATATTGAAGTGCTACTCCAACATTGTTATTAACTTTTCTAAACTTAATCCAGTTGCAAGTGATGTTAATAATGTTGCCAACAATTAATTTGCTTGTTAAAAAGAACCCCTCAGACAATCTTTTATTTATAAATGGCTTGTTGATTTTTTGCTTCTTCAAAGTATAATTCTAATATTAAATTCATATTTTGCAAAACTTAGGTAATGAGAAAACTCACTACAATGGTAAGAGACACTTGGCCAATCTTGCTTACAAACATCGGTTAGAGGAAGAAGCCCAAAGAACTATATTTGTTAAAGGATTTCCTCCAAACACAGATGAGTTGCAATTAAGTGACATTTTCTCCAAGATAGGAAAAGTGAGGCAAGTGATTATTGACAAGGAAAAGGTAAGATTTTGTTTTACTAAAGTTGATATGTTTTATTTTGCAAACCAAGAACTGTAGCTTCTAGCCATAGCAGCTTACATTAGCCTGTATGAATTAGTAATGTTACCCTCCACCTGAGAGTTTGTCTTTAAATGGGAGGTGGGAAGCATGGTTTAGTGTTTAAGCATAGAGCTGGCTGTAGAAACTTTCATTTGTACCATAAAAAAGTTACTTAGTTCTCAACTTGTACATAAATGTAAAACTTGTTATTTTTTTTTGTAATAGATAAGTGTTCTTGAGTGACTGCAAGCAAAGTAATTGAAGCCTAACTCACAACAGAAACAAGTCACTAACAGAATATTTCAGGGTATCATTTTAGGACCTGTTTTGTTAATGACTTTCACAAACACCTTTCCTGAAACAATTACTTCTCATTTATTAAAATACTTGTACATGTTAACTAAGGCTCAAAATCATTAGGGTGATCAGGCATCCCAGTTTTGTTGAGCACTTCCATTTTTTGGTAGTGTTTCCCAGTGCTCTGAGAAGTTTTTGGGACATTCAAAACATCCCAGTTTTATAATAAAGACATCAAACTGTCAGTCGCATCGAATTGCAAATATAATAGGCATACTTAACTTGCTCATTGTTATAACTCTCCTGTTGCCAAACTCTCACAAGTTTCAAAAGTTCCATCTGTGCATGGTGAGAAACCAAAGTGGTTTTTTTTAGTTAGTACAACTATAACAGTTGATGAATGTGTGGTGAATGGTTAAATGTTGGGGACTGTTCTTATTATTGAAAATGTTTAACCTGTCAAAATGCTGAAAAGAAAGTGTGTTTTTTCAGGTACTTTGAAAACAGACTTCCTTGTTTAAAGGCAAGCGAGTTGGATGTCAAAGTTGAGTGCACTGTTTGTAAAACTGTGTTATCGATAGCACACAGTGGCAGATTTGACATCTGAATCACACTGCCAATAAAAAGCACAAGGACCATTTTGAAATTAGGGCTGGGCTGTCTCGGTTTTTTGGTTTGGAAATCTGGTCACCCTAAAAATCATACAATGCTGAGATGACTTTTTTTTTTTTCTTTACTTAGGAATACTTCAACAATTTATTAGACTGGTCAAGAAATTGCAATTGCAAGTTAATAACGTAAAGTGGAAAGTGATATGGTATGGTCAGAATATTTTGAATTGTTTGTATCTGATGTCTGATGAAGTTATGGAAGATTTATTCTTTTAAGAAATATTATGAATGCTGGTTGACAAAACTCTGAACTTCAATAGTCAGTTAGGTATATTGGTTAAATGACATCTAAAGCAAATGACAAATTATATGTCATTGGAAGAAACTTCCATCTTTGAACAAAGTAAATTTTCTACTTCTATAAGAGTACTTCATCCAATCAACACTAGAGTACTGGACAACTATCTGGTCATGTAATTTGGTAATGTGACATTGATGCTGTGGTATAAGACCATTAAGCTGTCTCTTGAAATGCATAACCTATTTGTCTGTGCAAGCAGAAACTATCAGTGATATACTCCAAGTGTTTAGGATTGTCAAGGGCATAGACAATTAAAAGCTTGTTCGTTTTATTAAGTAACATTTCCCCTAAACATTATAGAAATACCTTATGCACATTACAACAGTCATCAACTGTCAGTGTTGTTTAGGACAAAAAAAAAAACTAGATGGGAAAAGGCCATTATTTGTCAATGTTTTTGTATTGTTATTATAATATATTTTTTTTAAATTCAACATAAACTTTTCTTTCTTTTTTCAGTTTCATATACCTATCCAACAATTTTAGGTTTTTTTACATTATATGCAAATACACCATCAATCAAACCATTCCACAAGTTTGTATTTTAACTAAAAAAAGCAGTTGTTGTATTGCTTAGCATGCTTTGAGTAATAGCGTCTTTCAGCCGTGTGATAATACAAAAATTATGGTTTGCTTCTGGTCACACTTGATGCTTGTATTCTTGTTAGTTTGGATTGTTACCTGTAAATAAACAAATGGAGATTATTGACGACATCAGTTGTGTGAGTTGGGAAATGTAGAATTGTTATTTTGTAACTTTTCAGTTATTAGTCACTAAGAAGTTTATTAAAATATGAAGCATGGCAGAGAGTTTAATGATCCAGTGTCTAAATGAATGAATCTTATAGTTGAGCAGAAATACTAAGAGCTCTGATTTTGTGCCAGAGTAGAATTCTTTTTGTGCATTCTACACTTTATTGGCACAATATTTTAATGATCATTTCATTCATGTGCTAATAACCTCTCACTGAATGCTTTGCAGTTCTGTGCTGATTCATGGGTATTGTACTTGTAGCCCTAGAAGGAAAAGCTATTAGAAAAGCTTCTGTCTCATGAGAGTGTTGTCTCATCAGTTGACGTCTTTTTAACACAGTTCTCTGGCTAAGACTAATTTCTTTGTAATAAATACTACCTTAGTTATCCATGTTTTCTAATTAATTGGTTAAAAGTGCAAGATTTTACAAGTTTGCTAACTGGTTGGTTATTGTAAAGTTTTTTGTTTTTTTATTGCAGTAGAAGAAGTAACAAAGAAATTCCAGGAAGTGTTTTAGTGAACTATGTTAATTAGAAAACAGATATTAATCAATATTACTTGTAAGTTACACACTTATTTGTAGTATTCTGATTTTTCTATGTCTCGGGTAGTATTATATAACTACATATTTTTGTCCATAATTAATGTAAAACTTGTAACAAAGATTCTAACTGTGATTTATTTGTGTTAAGACTAATGCTTGACCCATATTAAATTCCTTATCATAGAGAAGATTTGCCTTTGTGGAATTTGAATGTGGCAGTTCGGCAGCTACAGCCTTGAGTATGAAGAACCCTTTTATCATTCATCAACATCAACTTCAAGTAAAACCACGAAAAATGAAGCCGGATCATTTTTCCAACGAAAGAGTGGAAATACCCAAGTCGAAACAATTTACTAAACCTGTAGATCACAAAGTTCTGGTGGACAAACTGATTTCTAAGGACA